GTTGTCTAATACGACTATTTCAATTATAAGTCTGATCAATATTATAGAATTCTAGATGAAATGAACTATTGATAGTTATGTTCAGACTATTTTTTCTAAAATTATCCAATCTGATCGTATTTCATCTTCACTTTCAATTATTTTTAGATCTTTATCAATTTCTTCATTAATAAGCTCATTTTCTACAGGAAATTCAAGTAAGTTATATTCGTTTTTGATTTTTTTGAGATATTGAATAAAAGAGATTTGACCATGAAATTGTATTATTTTTAATTTACTAATCAAGATCTCGATGAAGAACATGAAATAAAACTTTTATGCAACAAAATTTCTTTTATTGAGAACTGTTTTATTGAGGTAATGATCTTAGCTAAATCTACACAATATTGTTATTTTTAGATTTCTTTCAATTATCTTTGTAGTAATTATACTTTAGGTAAAGCTGAAAAAGTATAATATCTTCGAGATCACTAGATCAGTTCTAATATTTTTGCAAAAGTGAACATTTTGTACATCAAATCTTATCTATTGCAAAGTTTCTCACTTCTTCATTTCCAGTATTACAAAACCACTGTGATGCTTTCTTATTTAGATTTAAGGTAACGAAATGGTGATTTAAATGGTATAAAAGAAGCCCAAGAAGCAAGTGACATATTTCTTGTGTGGAAATATCTTTTTTTTGCAATAGTATAGAATAATAACCGTTGGAACAAACCAAAAGAAAAATCAGAAGGCTTATTCTTATGAAGAATATGATATAAGATATCTAAGAAAGCTTCAGAGTATGATTCTAATTTACTTGCGTATTTTGTAATGTATTGTAATACAATTTAGGTGCTGAGAATAGGTTTTAAGTTAATATTTATATGCTAACCTTAGAGCTAAAGTCAATTGTGCAGATTTATATATGAGTCATTTCTCGCTATGATCAGCTTAGGTTGGCTATAATCATTTTTGCATACATAAGAATACTTAACAATATCCTTTGAATACCAAAACTAACAATATTGTTAACCTTTCTTATTTATTTGAAGACAATATGAAGGACTACACCTTGTATGTCTTTATATCTTATTAACTAGATCAGTATAGTCTTGCAAGTCATCAGATAATTTTTAATGACTTTTTTGACAAGGGTGCTGACTTGGTATGAAAGCTTCAGGTGGATTGATTGTGATAATAAACGAGTTAAAGTATTGCAATATTCTAGTCATTAACTTCCTATTTTCTTTTATATTTTTCCAATTAATTTTAGACGTATCTTGAATTATTCCAATATTATGAATGTAAATAATCCTTTAGTGTTGCCATTCAAAGCAGTACCATCAGTCCTTTAATTTTCACCTAAGAATTAATACTTTTACTTAAAAAACTTTAAAACATTTTTCAAAAAACCAAGCAACTATATGAGGATTATCAATTAATCTTGATACTAGTACTTGCTTGCCTCCTGTTCCGTCTCATTTTCTGCCAAATTTTCACCATGTGACATAAGTTTATGTAAGTTTGGCCAATGCAGATCAGTAGCGCTAAAGGTAAAAAATATCATTCCTTGTGATTCTAATTGTTTTATCATATCTAACAATTCTAAATATCTTTTTTTCTAGAACTGCTGAGTCTAATGCAAACCTTCACTGAATTGCATGATTCAATCTGCTATATGACCATCATCTTTCATCATTTTCTGAACATCTTCAACAGTAAGCTGTCTACTATTCAAGCTTTATTTCATATAGACCTTTCCTTCTTATAATGCTCGCCATCTCATCTGTGAGTTTAATGTGAAATACCTCTACCTAGCATGACAAGCGAACTTTCTATCTTTGTATTTAAGTAAATGCAAGAATTACTCAACTGGATTAATTTCTCTTGTATTCTCTACTTAAAAATCAGCATCTCCTATCAGATACAGTATTAGAAATACACAAATAATGTACTCTAGGATATTAAATTCATTTATAGGGTTAATACCTATATTTAGCCATAAAATAAGATCAATGTCTTTAGCTTGTATTTGATCAAAAGCATCATTTATAATACGTATTTTGTTATAAGATAGAAATAGAATAGGAATAAAATTGCATATAATATCATTAGTATCATTATCATTATTATAGTAGTCATTTTTAACTTCCTGCTCTAAATATTGAAGATAAGGAAGATGATTGTAAATAGATCTGTTATCAGGTAATAAACGTAAAGTGTCATCATTAATTATAATATCAGTATAATATCTGTTGTTTTCTTTTAACCAATAAAGTGTTTGTTAAACTTTAGACTAACGAATATTAAAATCTATGAACGTTGATTCTCCTGAGGATTGATGACGTATAATAAGCATATCTAATGATGAAAGATTGCGAGAAAGCTGAGGTGCAAAACTCTCTTACGTCTGTAAAAAGTTTATGATATTTTCATAGTACTCGTACTGACTTTCATGAAGATAATGCACTGAAATAACAGGAAAAATTTGTGCAATCAACATTTCTTCTATTTTAATAAGACCCTTCAACTCTTCAGGTATATCACCTGGATCCATGTTGTTCTTTAGAGAAAACTTCTTTACATCATTTTTGTTATTGTAATAGCAATAATACATTTGTTTAACAAGATCAATTGATGAGAATCGTTCATTATAAGTAGGTAAGATTTATACTTAAATTTATTCATTTCAGAGTAAAAATTCTCTAAGAGTATACGATCAGATTCAGTAAGTTGCTGAATATTTGAATGTAATTCTAATTCAATATCTTGATGATTTTGATGTTCATTAATAGGCTTTAATACAGATTTTTTATGTCATTTACTTTTATTACATCATTTACTTTCATGGTCTTTAGCCAAACATACTTTACGTTGTTTATCAGTTTCTAACTCTCTTTTTCTCTTCTTATTTAGACGATCACAAGAAAGACGCACTTTACGTTGTCTTAGGGTTTCATTTTCTTTTCTTTTACGCATTCTTAATTTATTGTCCATATTGTTTTTTATGTGAAAGACAACAGAAAGAACCATTTACTTATATATGATATTACAATTACACTTATTTATTTATAATATGTTTAGACTTTTTAAAATTTTGAATTTTATTTTATTACTTTTATTATATAAAGCTAATACAAAGTTAATTAATTACAAATAAGAAAGCTAATACAAAGTTAGTTAATTACAAATATATCACTTAATACATTTATAAATATTTGCGCATTGAAATAAAATTTAACTATTATGATTTCCATATATTTGTATTACACAAAATGTTCAATTTATATTTTTAGTTATACTGTATGTAACACAATATTTCGTCGTACAAAATTCTATTGGCTTGAACAAACAGAATTTTCTGATATCTTGTATATCTTGTCTAAAAGTATATAGTCCTCCGCTTAACGCTTCGGACAACAAATATTCTATACTTTCCTTGATTTTCAAGCCTTATAATGAATGGAATTGGACCTTTATCTTACATTATAACAGAACCCCTTTCAACATAACCTTTAAGCACTTTTGGATTTGGATTAGTGCTGAATTGGTTCTTGAAAACTGCATTACCATTCAATCAGCTACGTTAGCAATTTATTGATTTTTAACTTATAAAAAAAAATACTTAAACACGAAGCTAAAAGATCATTATATAGTTTAAATTTTGCAAATCTCTTTGACTTTGAATTTGACTTTGATTATATTGTCATTAGAAAAGCTTGAATTTCTAAAAAATTAGAACATCCTATATCAGCAACTCCTATTTTTATATTAAATAAATTTAATCCACTATTCTACACCATGTTAATAGAATTATTTAAAGGAATGAATGCATTATCTGTAGAAATACTTATTATCTTGGTCATTCTCATTTACGATGTAACCTATTATTAAGCATGCGTGATAATCATAATAATGAGAACATTTGTTGTGATACAATCAATTTTAAATCTACTTCGCCGCTGATAACTCCAAATTTATCTTACATAAATTATTATAGTTATACGACTTTTATTTAATTAAAATTATGTTATCGAAATAGATGAAAATTGATTAAATGAATATGTCTAATGGTAAAATGATGCACTGCGAGAATAGACTTTTTTTTGTCATACTTTTTGGGAAAATGATCTGCATCAAATTTCATTGTTAGCTACAAATGCGGTTAAAAGCAAATTTTCGTAAATTACTGTATATCATTGAGACAATTTAACACTACACTTGAAAAAAAAACAAATTTAACGGTTTCTAATGCTTATATTTCAAACAAAAAAAATTTTTTTTATAGCGGATAATGTGAATTATACGATTTCTTATAAGCTATGGAAAGACACTATCTTACATATTTAGAATGATAGCTATGATGTTTGAGATAAATAGTACATAAATAAATGATTTGAATTTGATCTCTGCATCGTAAATATAAAATTTACTTCATAATTTTCCCAAAAGAATTTTGTAAACCAATATTAAACGGATTTATTTCGGCCGTCCCCACGAAATTACGTACAAAATTTAAAACCAATAAGATTAGTTCTTAACATAAAAGGGGATTTTAAATGATTTGCATAATCAAGTCCAAATCTAAGATTGTTTGTTGATCTTTAAATTAAAATTTTACAATTGCGGTCAGATTATGCATTATCGAAGTTTCGATAAACTTGTCATTTATACAACAGTGTTTCCTGCCCAAATTTTTTCCTGCATTAAAGAAGCTTCTCTAGAAGAATCGTTTTACTAATAAGTGATACACAATTTAGTACTACATTTCTTAGAAAAAGAAACAACGATCATGAGCTTAAAATTGTGGCTTTAGTGGCCCTAAATAATTATTTAATTGTTTTTTGTACTCTAAATAATGGCGCACCTTCGTTTTCGAGATTTGATTATATAATTATTTACGCCACTCCAAAAACCTTATAAATAAGATCTCCTTCGGCATTGAATTTTTCAACATCAAAAGAAAAATTTTCTTTTTTTAATAATAAAAAAAAAAGTATTAAAAGTTCATAAACAAAATGTCTCTTGAATTTAATTCACAAAATTCCGTAAATCGAAATGATCAATGCCCGTCTGTCTATTCCATTAATTGTAAAGAAACTCGAATCGAAATTTATGAATGCAAGGATGAATTTGAATGTAAGTTGGTTGAATGGATTAGAGATTATTGACGATTTATAACTCATCATATTTAAATCATTAATAAAATATTTTTTTTCTATTTAATTTTATTTATAGGTAATTGCGGCAAAAAAATAAAAAACTTCTTTTCCAAGCGTATGAACTCTATAAAAAATAATATCAGGATGATCAAAACGATCAAGAAAAAACATAATATGCATTTAAGTCTATTCAGATAAATTACCTTTAAGATGAACATATGATTAGACATACTGTAATTCTAAGATTGTACAAAAAAAATTTCCTTTTATATTCATACATGCATTGTAAATAGTTAACATCATCATCATAAGACCATGCAACTTCGGTTTTTCGGTTCACGTCACCCGGTCGGGTCACTTTTTCAAATTTTAACAAAAAAAAGTTTATAAAATGTAATATTATTAGTAGATTGTATTAGCGTTATGTATAATTCCTTTCTTACAACTCATCAGCTTCCCAAGCGAATACATTGTGCTGAAAATTTTCTCTATCTAATGTTTTTGATGGGCTAAAGCTTCACTTCAAAATATACTTCCCAACAGTCAGGTGATAAATATAGAATCGATATGCTTCCAAAAAAAAATTTTTTATTTTTCAACTGATAAACCTTCCCAATCCTTCAAAACTTTAGTATTGTAACTTATATTTACATGTATAATAGGCATTATGACGTAAAAATTTAAATTTTTAGATAAAATTTTAAATTTGACACGGTCACCGGGGGGGGGGGGGTCTTTTTCATATGTAAGTTATATGTTCTGTATCACAAACAAGATAAATCTATGTAAATCCGCTTTCTTTTAAACAAAATCTGATATGCCGACCGATTTTATTAAGTAAGATCACATGATAAAAATTTTACTATAAAAAAAAAAATACAGTAGTTTCGTAAACTGAAACGGCCGGGTCTCCGGGTCGATTTTTAGATTTCAATGTTACGTGAACCGAAAAATCGAAGTTGCATGGATCTAGATCATAAAAAACTCAATAGATTTAAAAATTTTTTTGACAAAAATAAAATAGAGAATTTAATTCGTAAAATGCACCCATATGTAGTTTCTTTAATATGCATGTTTTAAGTAATTTATTAAATTTATTTTATGTTGATGCGTAATATGCATCCCATGCGTAACTAGTTTTGGAACGCAGTTGACTTTAAGCTTTAATATACTTTTCCCCACGATCTATTATTTATATAATTCTTCCCCGATCCTTTATAAATATTGATTTCCTCTATAACTTTACTACTTCTATTTCTTTCTCCCTTTCTCTTTTCATTCGAGGTGTATTTAATAACAAATCAAAGAAGAAAAAAAGCAACCATCAAAATAACATCGCATGCGTAATCAATAAATAAATGTGGATTATTAAATATTAATCGAAAGAAAAGAAAAGAGCAATCATTAGTTTAGTGCTCCCTTTGGTCGCCGGTATATTTAGAAATCATTTATTTTATATGCGTTTGGTGTGTTTAGAAAATCATTTAAAAAGTCATTTATTTTATGTACTGTAATTCAATTTTACAATATTATTTGTCCGAAGCGTAGCTGAAGGACGGACTAGTGTGGGTGATGCAATGTGTGTCTGTCATGGCGCGTGATCGTCCTATCGTTTTTTGTTTTTGTGTCACACTTCGCATTTACGTTTTAACTGATTTGTTATCGTGTTTTAAAGTTTGATTTCTTTTATTGTGCCAAGCTTTATTTATTGTAACGTTGATTATTCTATTGAAATAATAAAATACACTATTTTAATTGCGACAAGCTTTTTAATATTACTCTTTTTTTTCCGTTTAAAGTTTGTTTTTGAAATCGTGTTTGTAAAAAAAATAAATGGATCAGATTATCTATTGCTGTTACATATTTAACTACTTTTGAAATTTTGTTACTTATTGTTTTCTGTGATACGTATTGATACAGTGGCAATCATAAATAATGCAACAAAAAAATAAAATCCTTAAATTTAAATATTTCTTTCAATTCTAGAGATATCCCGCCCTCTTTAATAAAATTTTATTTGTTAATACCATTATTTTTCGGTATTAAATTTTTAATATCCATTAATACTTCCGA